ATATTGCAGATAGTCATTTAAAAAAAAAAAAAAATTCACTGATTATAAAATACGACTAATTGGATATGTTTCAAAATTCTTTAAGCACTCTCAGATAGCTTCACTTTTACAGAAAATTGTACAATATTAACAAAGTACTTCAAAGAATTTAATAGCACAAATATTAAGTATACATTATGCGTTCTTAATTTTATCATATTAATCTTTCTGTAGCCGAACTAGATGCCTTGAAAATCAAAATTCTCAGGTTTTTAAAAATTTAATGTGCTTATCAATTCACTATCTACCCAAAATTAAAGCCAAGGGGGGACCTCATTTGTCCTTATTATCATCATTATCATTAATATTGTACTTTTATTTTTCATTAACTCTAAATATTAGGGTTTCTTGCTTACATTATATAAATTGCATTTTGAAAAATGTATGCAAAAACCTGCACAGAGCGTTTCAGCACAGTGGTTATAAACTTTCAAGAGATATAGAGTACACCTAGACAATGGAAAATCATATAGCAATGCATGGTCGGAAACAGTTTCCTGGTGCCATAATGACAACAAAAAACAGAAAAAAAGAAGGACATGAACAGTAAGACAAAACATGTTTTATTACGTTTATACGCAGAATCTAACATATAAGGAAAAAAAAAAAAACAGACAAAGAAGATGTTTAAAATTACAACCATGTAAGCCTCTCACCTCCAATGCAAGGAAGATATGATACCAGGGATGGGCAAACTTTTTCGGTCGCGGGCCAAAAAAATCGAAAAAAAAAAAGTTTGGCAGACCAAGATAAATATTTCTAAAATTTTAGAAACAATATACAAGTATTACAATTTAAATATGTTAATGAGATGAATGAAATTGCGATTTCATTTTTCTAAGTTCTTATATTGAAGTTCGAAGTGAGATGTACTAATTCTAAGGAGCGAAGCTAAATGCTCATCTGTCAGTCTACTTCTGAAATAATTCTTTCTAAGGTTCATGGTTGAAAACACTTCTTCACATATATAAGATGAAGTAAAACATAGCACTGCTTTTCTGGGTGTGAGATATTAAATTTGGAAAACTTAATTTCGATAATGATTTGTAAAAAACTAACTTTGGCATATTTAGAAACAACTGCTTGAGATGATAGTCAGATTGCAACTCAATTAATTCAAGCTGAAAATATGACTTCACTGCTTCACAATTTACATTGAAAAGCATGGTAAAAATATCCAATTCTGTTTGAATGGCATTGAAATCTTGAAATCTTCATTCAAACTCAAAATGCACCTTTTTCGAGCCATCTTCATAATTCTTAAGCTTCTCTTCATTTACTGAGGGTAATGAATTTAACCTTGACAAATGAGACAAGTCGTTTTTAGCTAGCTGCCCAGCAAACAGATTAAGTTTTTAAGTTACGATAATTAAGTTAAGATGAAGATTTTTCTAAGAGGTATAATTCACCTATATTGGATTCCCATATGTTTGCTCCCCAAGAAAGAGGTAACGCTTGTTGGTGCCAATCTAAAGCTATAACTAATAAAAAACTTCTGCTTTTAACACTTTATCGATTGAAAACTCTCTGTGCTTGCTATTTCCGTCAATTTATGTTTTGTAGAACAAAAATAGAGAAAGTACAAAGATCATCAGTTCTTCGGAGAAAAGGAAGAAAAAAATAATATTTAAACAAAGTAGAAAAGGAGACGAATATATAATATATATTTCTTTTAATCTGCCTCGGAATGGCAAATTAAAATTCTATCCGCAGGCTGGATAGAACCTTCCGGTGAGCCGCAGTTTGCCCATCTCTGTTCTAGACAATACCTGGCATGTCCTGGACTTCCCCAGCAGTCCAGGACAATGTGTGCAACAAGTTCATAAGCACATTTAATAGGGGTTTTGTACACCACTGTCTTGATAGACCCCCAGAGGAAATAGTCAATGCAAGTGAGGTGTGGCATCTTGCTGGTCAATACACATCCAATGTTGAGGACATGTTAACCCCTTAAGCAGTTTGCCCGTACGGTGTACGTGCTACCCGAAATTGGCCTCAACCGGTTTGCCCGTACAGCGTACGGGCATAGATATTTTCTCCTTTCCTTTTCTGGTTTGCCCGTATTTTTCAATATTGCAAAGATACTATTTAGTATTAATATTTTTCGACAGATGGCATGACTTGTCCATGTAACTGAAATGCTTTTCATCCGGGTTTTTCTTTGTAGCGGGAAAGGGGGGATTTTTCTTTGAAATTTTTGTTCTACTGTATTCAACGCTTGTGAATTTAAAACCTTGTCTTTTCTTATGGAAGTTATGGATGGAATAAACGACGAAAATACTTTCTTGTTAGATGATGAACTACATTCTGATACAGATACAGATATTTCATCTAATTATTTGGATTATTCCTCAGATGAATCATGCAGTGAGCTCAGCTCTGATGAAGATTTGTGTTCTGCAAGGATTTTTACCGAGGTTGATGCGAAAAATCCACCTGTTCCGTGTCCTCAATTTAAATTTACTGGTATTCCTTCTGTGCACGCACAATTTGACGACACTTCTGATGTTTTAGAATTTTATGAAATATTCATTGATTATCCACTCATGAGTAAAATTGTGGAAGAGACAAATAAATATGCTAAACAGTGCATCCAATCGAGTGTTGCAAAACAATTCTCAAAGAGTAAATTTTGGGAAGAGACAAATGTGAATGAGTTGCATGTATTTTTCGCTCTGAATATACTTCAAGGAATTGTAAAGAAACCTGGAATTGATCATTATTGGAGCAAAAGATATTCGACTAATACACCTTTTTTCTCTAAAATAATGTCTAATCGTCGATTCTGTCTTTTGCAACGTTACTTGCATTTTTCTGATAATGCAGCATTTGACAAAGAAAATCACGAATGCCCAAAATTAGTTAAAGTTTGGTCAGTTGTAAAACATCTCAATAAGAAATTTAGTGAAACGGTGACACCAGAGCGAGATGTAACAATAGATGAGAGCCTTATGCTATTCAAAGGACGACTAGGATGGAAACAATTCATTCCACTCAAAAGAGCTAGATTTGGAGTAAAATGTTTTATGTTGTGCGAATCCAATTCTGGTTATGTCTGGTCAATAATAATATATACAGGTAAAGACACAATTCTGAAACCTGAATATTCTAAACTTTGCTTTTCATCGCAAATTGTCCTGACAATGATGGAGCCTTTGCTTCATAAAGGATACTGTCTTACAATAGACAATTATTATTCTTCGCCAGAATTAGCAGACAAACTAGTTTCATGTCAAACGGACACATACGGCACACTAAACCTCAAGAGAAAAGAAGTCCCAAAAGAAATGCAGAAAAGAAAATTGAAAAAAGGAGAGATTATAGGTTTTCAGAGAGGAAAAGTTACTGTGATGAAGTGGATGGACAAAAAAAAAAGTTTCATTTACTTTCCACAATTCACAATACTGCAAATGGTAGACAATTCAAGTCCGCTCCTGAATATGAAACAAAAACCGAAAATTGTTATGGACTATAATAATACTATGGGAGGAGTAGACCGCATGGACCAAAATTTGAAGAGTTTTGAAATTATCAAGAAAAGGGGTAAAAAAAATGTTACAGAAAAGATTTTTTCCACATTTTTGATATTGTCTATATGGAACTCATATGTTGTATACCGTAAAAAAGGTGGAAAGGAAAACGTACGCAACTGGAATTTAGACTTGATCTTCGTTCGACCGTATAATTGAATCGACATGTATCATTCTGGGACAAAATTTCTGATGTGGACGACCAGGTTCGGAGCCTAATCCTCTGAGATTGACAGAGAGACATTTTTTGGAAATAATTGCTCCCACAGATAAGAAAATGAGACCTGCAAGACAATGCGCAGTGTGCTGTTCTAAAAGAAATGAGAATGGAAAAAGAATACGAAAAGAAACAAGGTATTTCTGCTCTGACTGCGACGTAGGATTCTGCATTACACCATGCTTCAAATTATACCATACACAAAAAGACTTCTGAACTGTTTGTAAAAATATAAACGTCAAAATTCACAGTAAGTATGAGAGAAATTTTTATAGAAATTGTAAACCATTCTTCCCTGCATGCAAAATGTGCTTGAAAAAAGCAAACATTTAGGGGTTTTTGTTTTCCAAAATTGTAAAATAAAAAATGCTGTAAAACCATTAAAAGTGAAAAAAAAACATTAAAAACTCTTATTATTCTTATTCTATTAAGTATGGTACTTAATTATATGCAATAAAAAAATATGCTTTTTTTGGGAGCAATTCTGGTAAAAAAATTGACCGCTTAAAGGGTTAAGTGACATCTACCTCATACACAAGCGAAAGCCATCCCAACACTTTAGCTGTCCTAATAACATGTTTAATAAACATGTTAACAAATATAAATGCCATTATAAATATGTTTTCCACACCCTGTTCATGTCTTTCCTTTCCTGTGTTTTGTGTCATTACTACTGCGCCAGGAAAGTGTTTCAGACCATGCACGGCTATGTAGTTTTCCATTCTCTACGTGTCTTGACGGACCCCTAGACTCTCTCTCCTGAAAGTTTGTAACCGCTGTGCTGAAACACTCTGTATATCGTGAGAAAAAGCAGATTTTAAAGAAATTATTTTTGCATGTTAGAAATTATTTTTGCATATCAGGAATTATTTTTGCATTGTTTGCAAAATGCTCTCAGGCACACTGTGACATTCAATGCTCCAAAGTCACAGGCCTGCAACAGTCTGCAATCTCCCACAGCAGTAGCAAAGAGTTTAAACACATTATACCTTGCACTTACTTAAGTGAAGTCCACAGCCTTTAAATAATTTAGTTTTTAACTTATTTAAAACATTTTGGGGAAAAGCAAGTACTTTCACATTCTCAGTACTTCAACAAGTATATAACTTAATTTTAAAACTTAATCTATTATATTAATGAAAATATGTACACTGCAAAATGTTTAATCTTAAAGTAACAAAAACTTGTACTTTTAGCTTTAAAATGACTATTACCTTATTAAATACCCATATTTCACCATTTGCTGTAGGTTTAGGCACACCATGACCATTATAATGAAACAACACACGCTCATCCTGCAAAATTAAAGCAGCTTATGTAAGTGAAAAAAGAAATTTTTAAAATAATTAACACTTCACAAACTTAAACAGTTACTAATATTTCACTAGTTCTTTTTTTAATGTGAATGTGCAGCTTTAAATTTCAAATATATTTTTATTAAATAAAGTTAAATTAATAAATAAAGCTACAAAATGTTAAAAATTAGTTTTAAAATACTTGAAGTTAAAGAATGAGCAAATTGAACAAATAGAACAATAACAGACTTTTGATTTTAAAAAATTTCCTTCTAAAAAATATTTGGAAATTTAAAATATATTTTTTATTAATAAAGTTTAAATTAATAAATAAAGCTATAAAAAGTGAAAAATTAATCTTAAAATACTTAAGGTTAAAAAATAAGCAAATTGAACAAATAGAACAATAGCAGACTTTTCATTAAAAAAAAAAAAAGTCCTTCTAAAGAATGTTTGGATGTTAAATGCAGTTAAAAGAAACCTCTTATTCTCTTCTCCTGATTTTACGAAATATGTAGCACTCTCCATAAATTTAACTTCCAATTCCCCACCCCTATTAATAAAATGTCTAATTCAATCGATAAAAATACTATTCCAAATTTTAATTCACGAGATATTTACAACTTCTTTTATTAGAGTATTTTAACAAAAATATTAAGATTTCAAAGAAAGGTGAGTCTCAAGTCAGAAAGGAGAAATAAATCTTTCATAACTAATCATCAGTTATGTTTTCATCCTTAATTTAATTTTTGATTCTTTTAATTCTAATTTTACTTCATAGACTATAGTATTAGATTTCATATTTACAGCCTTCAGGGCAGAGTATTTTTATTCCTTAAAGAAAAGGAGCCTGTGAAATATATACATTTCTTTTTTATAAAACTTGATATCAATCTAACGTTACCTTGTTTTGAACTAATAATTAAAGTTGCATTACAAAAAAAAAAAAAAAAAAGATACTATTTGGATTCGAGGGCCGTAACAAAATTGCAGCGAAAATGTACGCGCAAAAGCGCCAAATCTAGCAAACGCGCCCATTTAACAGCGTGCCAAATCTAGCGTACGCGCTGATTTCAGATTGCGTAAGTTTATATAGTTCTATATTTCTTAAGACGCCATTGAAATACTAGTTTAATTTTTAAATCCTTTTTTGATATCCTATGGATTAATTTGGGAATTGCCCATGACGAAAACTCGGCAATAGAATTTTGGGTAAAGTGCAGAATCACCCACTGCTTGACGCGTTTTTAAGAATGGCACATACTCAGTATCCATGTGCACATCGACACATTTTCACTTAAAAAAATAAATAAATAAAATACTAAAATTGCACAAAATTGGCACTGTGCACACCCTTGACATTATTTATGTACACATCGACCTATTTTCACTTGAAAAGTAAAAGAAAATTGACAAAAATCCAATTTTTTTTACCCTCGTAAAAAGCGGCAAACAAATAAGTGCGCCATTCTGCACTTTACCGAGAATATTTTTAAAGAAAAGGCATCATTCATCATAGAAGAAAATGTAGTTGAACAACCAGCGAGATGAAATTATGCTTTAGCGATAAGTCGGTAGCGAAAATAGCGATGCAGGCAGCATCCATTCAGTTATGTCTAGCAATTTTTTATATAAATTATAATAATGATCTGAAATTGTTATTTACTCTTATGCTTCCATTCAGTCATGTTTAGCCTTTTTCATATAAATCATAAAAATAAAAAGTATTATATGAAATTAACCTTTCATCTAAATTAAAACATCAATCTTAAATAGTTATTTACTATTATATACCTCCTTTCTTGCCGCAATTATTAGGGCTGCCGCAATTATTTTTGGCAGCATTGGTATCAACAACAGTTTGGCGATTTTTTACGGCCCTCGAAACCGAATAGTACCAAAAAAAATATTTAGACAACTTTAAATTCTAAAAACAAACAAAAAAAAAATAATAATAACGCTTGTACTAGCATATGCCTGTGTTTGTATTAAGATTAAAATTCTAACTTTAATTTTAATGAATCTAAAGTCTTTCTCGTAACTGAAATCTCTACTTTCTATCCCATAATAATAATATACTTATCTAATCTTTCTAAATGTGTCATTTCTAAATTAATGATTGTCATATGCTACTTCTATAATACTGTTTGCTCTTAAACTAATATAACAATGGAAAGTGAAACCAAGTTCCTAAACTAATAATTATCATATGCTGTTGACATGCACACATGATAGTGAAAAATGAAACTGAAATCTTTTATGCAGTGGTATTAATTCCAAAGCAATAAGCAGCAATAATACAACTCTACTACATCTTTCTGTTGAGAAATAAAATAACTTAGGATTTTTAAATACATCCATTTAATATAATTTTTCTATTCCCTCCTTTTTTTTCTTTTGAGTGCTTCAGAAACACACGCAGATTTACACGCACAATCACATGCAGCTATTAGTAAAATGTTCTAACAGATGTGTCTGCTTTCCACTTTTTCATATACTATATGTTTTACCATTCTGTTAAAAACTGCTTAGATTAAATTAAATGTGTTCAACAGTAGTAGAAACTATGTTAGAAAATAAAGATAACATTTTCAACTGCAAAACTATCTTTAAAACTGGCTAGATGCTAGATCATTACATATATCATTACTACAGGAAAAAAACTTTTCGTTCTAATTGAAAAAAAAAAAAAAAAAATATCTGGAATAAAATAAATATTTTTGAAAACACACCTTGGCATTTCGACGCAATGAGGTACATAACCGCTTTACTTCATCAACTGTAGGATCAAGACTATGTTTATACCTAGCTCTAGGCTGCCATTTTTCATATTGTTTTTGTAATGCAGCTGCAATTGAATCTAGAGCTTTCTGAGGTACAAGAGACAAAGGATCTGAAAAATGAATTAAATTAAAATATATTTTTAGATTAAATAAGTAAATTAAAATAAAACTGCATGCTTTTAAATTTTAAATTTAAATATGTATTAATCATACCAATCCAGCACTCTAATCTGGCACAAGGTTGAGTTTTTATAATATCTGGTGGATCAACACCCACATTTAAACATAAAACTAAGGCCACACTGACAGTCTTCATCTGGAAATAAAAACAGGAATATAATAAAAAATTTTGAAAACAATACCAGTATATTATTACAAGAAGATAACTCAAACACAAATAACTGCATTCATTCACATATAGGTTTCTTTGCTTTTGATAACTAATAAAATTTTATAATTAAAAAATAATTCAGAAAGAAAACAAAATAATTAAATATGTTTTGTGATAAAACATAAGACAGTTTCACGAAATAAAATTATCTTGGTATTTTCTGATTGTCTGCACTCATGCTAAAAAGTCGCAAAACTTGCAGAATTTTTTTAAAATTTTTCGAAGACAGGAAACTTGAGAAATAAAAAATGCCCTTGCCATTATTCGAACTCCAGACATCCTGAATATGTGTTGAGTGTGCTTCCAGTTCCATCATGAAGGCATGTGGAAAAGAGGGAGAAAATACTTTACATAATTTCCTTTTTTAAGGATAACTGGGAATCACAAGAATCAACCACCAAATCCTGCTGGGGGCAAATTATTGTCCACCAACTTTCAGTTCAGGCACCTTTTAGTTCGAGCCTTTTAAAATTTTTCAAATCTTGCCAGGATTCGAACTCCGGACCTACTGAACATGCATTAAGTGTGCTCCAAGTTACACCACAAAGGCAGAAAAGAGGGAGAAATAGCTTATAAACTAACTGGCAAATTTGGAAACATTTGTTATGTTATCTTCATACCTATTTAAGACATCAAATTTATTTTATTGCATTCTTCTTACATAAAAGACACACACCCTTTTTTTGGCACTGCTGTTCTCCCCATGTATGCAGTAATGTTTATGCTAAGAAGAAATGGCCTACCAACGGCTGATCGGTAGAGTCGCTGAACACTGTTAGTTCAGTCTGAGGTTTGAATCACATGCATGGGCTGGCTGCATGGACATTTTCATGGTTTTTCCTTCGTGTAACATATATACGAGCCAGTTTCCCTTAGAAAGTCCTCCACAAAGGCATCCCTCCTCTTAGGCAGATAACCCTCGAAGCTTTGCCATAATCACATAAACCACAAACAAAACAAGCTAAAATGAAACTGAAGAAATACACAAACTTGGCATAACATACAACCTCAGAACCAAAATCCTAAAATAAGAAGGAAGAAAAAAATGAGGTGTATGATGCTTTAATGTGAGCCACATTAAACTCTAGTATGCAGAAAATGTACGTTTAAAACTTCTAGCGTGCAGTTCATGCTGTGCTAAATCTATGCTATGCTATGCTATCATATTCCCATACAAAGGACCATATTCCCATACGAAGGATCATAATCGCGATCACATTGGCAAAAATATATGGTGAACTGAAAAGCTGTCTGGGAGGATGCTGTGCATATAATAGGGTTAACAAGGATATATAAAAAACTATTTTATCCATATCTATTCACTGCTAAGAAAAATAATTCATAATATTTAGTGTTGGAATTAAATGGCTCTTTCCTAAATTTAGCTTTGTGAATTTAGTTTAGTTGTTAAAATTGATACAATTTAGCTGTTAAAATTGATTTCTAATTGTATTTAAAAATGGTATCATAAAAATCTGCATTTGCATAAAACTACTTTTTTATAATTCAATGCAAGCTATAACAAAATGAATGAGAGACTATATAATAAAGAAATTCTTACAACTCCTATATTGTTTATTTCAATTTACTTTTTTTCAAGAATTATTATTACATATTTTTTATATATGCAATGGAAGTGCATAAAAATACTATTAGATCAGACACATAAACCAGTAACATATACATTTTTTCTTTACACTGAAAATAATCATTAAACATCACCTGGAACATTCTGCGGTTTTTCAAATTTTATCTCCTCCCCAGTGCAATGCTAAAAATGAAGGACCAACTTCATTTTCATTATATTATGCTTTTTTATTAAGAAAAAAAAGGGGGAAAGCTTGTCAAAGTGCTCATTAAATTATGCTGTATATGGGAAAAGTCCTGTTTCTCATAACACAGTTCCGAAGTTTGCTAGTGGAAATTTACTACGTCTCGAAGATGATGCCCATCCTCTATACATAAGGACTTATCACAAGAAGCTACTGAAAATCCACATTATACAGTTCAGGAACTATCAAACAGACTAAATATTCCAAAAAGTATACTGCATGATCATTTGAAAAGACTGGGTATTAAGTCACTACAATGTATGGGATACCCCATATTTTAACAGAGTGCAGAAGACGCTGGCTCAAATTTTAGAATACGATTCTTTGAAGAGAAATAATATGATGCTCTTTTTTTGAAATGGCTCATTACTGGAGATGAGAAGTGGATACTATACAATAATATTTCAAGAAAAAGATCATGGGTAAGCCAAATGCACTTCTTTTTAACATCGAGCGAGAGGCAGCACAGCATCCCAAAAATGTAATGCTTTGTGTATCGAGGCACTACACGGAAATTCTACACAATGAACTGTAGCTCTTAAATCAGACAAATTTTAAAAAATTCTGTTTCTAAATGGCAGAAACTGAATCAAAAAGCCCAGAAATGACCACTCATACATAGAGGTGTCATCTTTTATCATAACAATCTGGCCTCATATTTCGATGTATGTCAGACTTATTAAATGTGGGTGGAATGCCTTGTGTCCCCCTTAAATATACACTATACCTTGCCTCTCTCATTTTCATGTCTTCAAAATTTTCTGAATGGAATGGCAGGGGTGTAGCTAGAGGGGGCAAGGGGGGACATCTGTCCCCGGGCGCAGAATCCAAGGGACGCCAAATTGATGTTAAGACATTTTAGAATTAAATGTTTTCCATCCTTGGTAAGCAGTAGGGGGCGCGAAATCTTCAGTTGCCCCTGGGTGCTGAAAACCCTAGCAAGGACTCTGTGGGATGGAGTTAATTTCTTTGGAGAATATCAAACAGACCTCAACAACTTCGTTACAACTTTTTAAAAAAGAATTTTTCAGCTATTGGAGAAATGACGAAAAGTCATAAATTAAACAGGTGCTTATGCGATTCAAAGAAATTTTCTTGTGTTTCTATACTATGTATTTGTCCTTAAAAAGAAGCAAAACTTTCTGGATGACTCGATATTTATTTGCCTTCATGATGTTATAATTTTCAGAATCATATAAATAACAGATAAATGCTTTGCTCAAATAGCGGTTTTTAAATATTTCAATTTACTTTAACAAAAAATGCTCAGCTGAGATTTGCATATAATGGCAGGGGAAAAAAATCACCTGAATCTAGTTCATACACTCGAGAAATATGTTTCCTCATTCCCAGGTTCACATATAATTAGTTTATATCACCATAGGCAGATCATCCATTTGCGTTCTACTTTTATATCCAAGTATAGAGGTTTTAAGTATAACTCACACAGCAATAAGGAACTTAGGACTCCCCACCCTATTCTGTAGAAAGCTATTGGCATTGATATGTGATCTACTACTTTTAGTTAAATATTTATTTTTTAGATAGTGCTACTAGATACACATGATATTTTTCAGATACCACAACAATTCATGGCTTAAATTCCTTCAAATTTTACAAAACAAAAGCAAGAGTGACCTTTAAAAATGCCATTTTTATGAGTCGTTCAGCTGTTTGCTCTATGAAATCACATAGCATTACTGAAAAATAGTCATCACTTTTATTAGTACATCTTCACCATGCTTCTGCAAGATTGTAATGTGGTATTCAGCACTCTAAATAGAATCTTTAGCTTCAGAATCTTCCAATCAGTTCAATTGTTTGAGTGTTAGCACCAGCTGCTGGTGGTTTCAGTTCAATGATCACGGCTTTTGCTGATATACAAAGATGCCAGACAACAAGTCAATAATGGAATGCTACAGAACTCGGATAGAACCAGTTTTGGTCATTCACTTAAAGACAAATTCTTTAAGTGACTTTCTAAATAATGCTTCTAATTCAAAACTTTCTAAATAATGTTTCAGTTAATCTTCGGATTATGGTAACTTGGAGATTTTTTGGCGAAAATTTGGCGACCAACCCTGCTACAGCAAACTGCTAGTTTTTTTTGGATGCCATTTTGTTTTCACGAAGTAAAGGCATTCCACCCCCCCCAACAATCTACTAGCCGAATTATTCTTATGCTAGAACTTTTATAGAACAAAAGTGCTTAATCACGACGAAGATTAGGTGCGAAACTGGGAGAAAGTGCAGAATCGCCCCCTGCTTGCCGCGTTTTTAAGAATTGCACATCCACGGTATCCATGTACACATCAACCTATTTTCACTTAAAAAAACATCCCAGAATTGCACAAAAATGGCAGGCACTGCACAAACTCTTGACTTTGTCCATGTACACTGCTAAAGTCCTAGCTAGTAACCTTTATCGCCTTACCAAAATGTCGCCAAACTACCTGTTACCATATTCCAAAGATAAGCCAATGTTTCTAAATAATGTTCTAAATAATGTCTTTGGCTTTTTAAATAATGTAATGACAATGTAATGTCGTTCACTTAAAGACATTGTGCACCTTTTTTCCTTTTCATTTTAAGATTTTGGTGTTGAAACTGCCCGTTTTGTTTTAATAAAAAATCAAGGTTTAATCCTAGTATCCGGTACACACGGGATTTGGCAACTTTATGATGAGCAGTAAAAACGAGACATATACGATGAGTGAAAACGGGCCATTCAAAGAATATATACAGTTACACATTGCATATACTACGTATGTAGTAATAGGATATAGTGTATAGTATACACATGGACGTTCTTTGGGTCATTTTTGGTATTGGCGTTAATTTTCAAAATCGTGCCGAGGCTGCCCCGTATACTAGGATTTTACCAAAAATCGATTACTGTGCACATAAAAAGAACAACAATGCAAAATGTCAAGATATTTGCAACTAACTTATGGAAAAAGAAGACTATAAATAAGCAAAACATACACAGGGATACATCACTGAAATTACTGCAAAAATATCCAAACAAATGTTGCTCTGCTAAATTCCTAATGAAAAACAAAGTATTTCACGTTGTCTGCATGCCTTTCTGATTATAATGGAACTTGGTAAGCGTATTATTTGGTTTGTGTGGCCATGCCTTATTATATTATGCATGCGAATAAAGTTATAACACGCACGATGCAGAGTTGACAATATATGCACCACAGAGAAAAAGCATATTCGCTAACATGGAAACATACACAACTAAAACAGTGAACATAGTAGCATTTCCAATACTAAAAAATATACACATATTTACTAAGAGTTATCATAAGCACAGCATTTCTAATACTAAAATTACATATATTTACTAGGAGTTATCATATAAGCACAGCATTTCCAATACTAAAATTACATATATTTACTAAAAGTTATCCCATACACGGAATACTTTCATATGAGGTTAATATCAGTGGCTTAGCTAGGGTGGGACAAAGGGAGCATTTGTCTCAGTGGTGAAGCATGCTGGAGACACCAAGCAGATGTTATAAAATTTTAGTTTCTAATGTTTTCCAGGTTAGACTATATTTTAAGGTACCCCTTGGATTATAGGAAAGTTGTTGTTTAATTTATGTTAACCTGAGCAGTTGAATGTTATGGAAACCCTGTTGCGATGCAATTAGTTGTAACGCGCGACTGCAGCGATTTTGACTGACATGGAAATATTTGTAAGGGCTTGCTTAGGTACAGATGCCGGTTAGGAAGTACACTGCTTTTTTTGTGCTTCACACCATAAAATGCCTGCTAGTGGTACAATTAAGTTGAAGTTTCTTTACACTTTGGAACAAGTGTGAAAGAAAACACTGGCTGACTAGTGTATAAATGAAGAATTTCAATGGCTTCGTTCGCCTCTCAGTAAATTACAGTGCGATTTAAGGATTTCGAAACTGGAGCTCATATCAACACTATGGAAGATATGTGGGATGTAATAAAAAGGGATTTTTGAAAGAAATGTTACCGACAGTCCAGCAGTACAGAAGACTTTTGTGAATTATATTTTTCATTTTTACTTTTGTGAATTAATGTGGCGACAGCTGTACATTCTAGTTTACATAATTTTCAATAGATTTTGGATGCTGTTAAGGAATTCTGTGTGTCGCACATATCAAAGAATCAGAAATTTTTTAATAAGGTAAATCGTTATTTCCTTTTTGTACCATGTCGATTAGATAACATGTATTCCCATTCTTATGTTATAATTTATTTCTTATGTTATTCTCCTTATGTATTCTTATGTTATATTCTCATGTAAACAGGAATGCCCCAAAAAATCGCCAAGGGGTACCATGAAATATATTTAATGAATAATAGCCATCATGAAACGTCGTCTCCTCTAAGATGACCACCTTGAGAGAAAACGAAAATCGTGTCGAACTCAAGTTTTAGAGATATTTCATTGTATTTGAAATAATTAATTTCTTAAAATAGTAATAATATTATAATACAGTAGACAACAAATATATAAATAATTCTAAATCTAAGTAGAAAAACATATATTTTAGAATAATATTCTTGAACTATTTTAAATTACTATGCAATTACTTCTTCCTATGCATCAATGTTGAAATAAATCTCTATAAAGCTATAGCCTTCATTAAAAATATATTTATTGCAATTTCAGGAAAAAAAAAAAAAAAAAAAGTTTCTACATTGATTATGGTCGCCAAATATTTAGGAAAAATTTCCTAAAAATGAGAAGAATTATTCTAATTAAATACCCGGTCCTTCATTCTCCATGTGTGCGTATCAGAATTACTGCCTTCAACATTATGCCTTTTTCCGTTAAATGCGATAGGCACAAACCAGTCAGGGAGATCGCATGCCTCTTCGTTGCAAGAAAAATCAAACATAGTCATATTTCCACTCTTAATTATTAACGAGAAATCATTCGGTCAGTTAAAGGGTCTCATAACTACACCATAAACGTTTTCATGCGAACTTTCCCCATCCCTTTACTTATCGATGCCACATTTGTTTACAGTATCTCGAAAGTGATCTTCACTTCATACTAGTCTAGACATATTTCCGCCAGACGAAAATGGGACATCCGAATGTCAGAAAGGGGAGGGGGGGAAGATAGGTAAACGTATATAAAAGTGCTGCTTAGAAAAACTAACCTCAATATTCATTGATTTCAATTCCTGGATCACATGAATGCTGTTCTTTAATATGAATTCTTATCAAGGAATTCTTTTCAACGAAAGTATAATAATAAATAGAGAAGCGGATTTTTTTAATACTAGAAATGCTTTTAGCAGAGCTTTCTAAAATTTTTGAAAGCTACGTTAGTTACATAATCAGTGTGGCAAGTTTTGTTAAAGTACGCAATATTGCACATTCATGTCACACATTCATGTCTAGCCAGCGAAAAGCCTGAAGGGACATTCACACCGAAGGTTAAAGAAAAAGAACGATTAGGCTATTTTTTTCAGGGGAACGATATGCTGTGTACAGGGGCGTCACGTGGGGGTGGAAAAATTGTTCACCGCACAAGGGCGCCTGGGCCAGTGGGGCGCCAAAATTTATTCTTATCACAAGAAATAAAACACAATTCTGGATTTCTTCTCTTAGATATGCGTACAATATCACAATATCATGCAATATCACGCAGTAGTTACATTTTAAACTACGAAAGCATCAAATGAAACGCAATCCAAAGCTCAGAGAAAGCCGATCTGACTCCAAATTCGCTACAGTCAACAAAAGAGTTATGTAAGCAACTGAACTGAGATATTTCTCTCCGGCGTTTTAAAACTTTTCGATTTCTGTAAAGCAAAAGATTAGAATTACGGTCAATGCTAACACAGTAGTCAATTACATTTATTCAGTTTAAATATACTCTTAAATTACCAGATATCTATCATTAAATGCGCGTGCTTCAGTATTTTTACTTTTCCGGAGTAGTTTCTCTTAAAACTCGTCACGCGATGCGTTACACCGGAAAATAAAACGATTTTAATTACAATTCTACTAAAAATTGCTAACGAAATACAAAATCGGAACAATATATTCGTTATTCTCTCCAGATCTAGGTGTCATATATTATTGTGTTGTCTTATTCATCTGTATTATAGCTCTTATGTATTGCTGAGGTATTTCCTTACTTCTGCAAGCCTCATGACCTATCTGGTGAAGCAAGTGAGCTTTTGCATTTCTTTTCTTAAATAACAATACCAACAATAAACTAATAATTGATGTAAAAAGGTAAAAGTAGTTGTGGTAGGAAGAGTGCGTCCAAGAGAAGGCAGATAAACTTCGAGCTCAGCGGCAATAGGAAAAACCTTAACTAACTTTCTGATGCAAAATTACAATCTAAATCCTTTCAGACTTTTTGTTTTCCTTTTTTTTTTTTTTTTTTTTTTTTTTTTTATAAGAACGTTCTTGTTTTGAGTGCTGTGTTATTTTACATAGCCAAATAAACTTGTCTACAAATTAAATTAGTTCAAAACATAATTAAAATATTAACTGCCAGTTTTTATTTATTATAACACATTTTATTCTCCTTTCCTGCAATTTTAATTGCAGTCGCGATAATCGTCAAAGGACTAAACTGCGAGTGTGTTTCGGTAAATTTTCAATTGCTGTAGCTGCTTTTATATTACCAGTCTTGATACAGATGTCAAACATTTTTGCTTCGAAAACAGCAGTCAACCTAGCAGGCTATTATGTTGCTCCAAGGCGAAAATATTTCAAATACGTGACATCAATTGCAACCAAAATTTCAAGTTAAAAAATATTGAATGTAATAAAAACAACTTTAAGAACACTCCTCTCCCCTTCTCCAAAAGCATGTGCGATATTTATTATTTAAATTTTAAAATACTATCTTTAAAACTACAACATTGGTATTTACAATTATAGAATGGCTGGCCCCTGGCGGCACGTGGCAAAGTGGCTGGTCTCGAATGGCACGTCGGCCCCGAAGCACAATTATTTCTGCCCACGAATATATGTTTCGTCCTACTCCTCCTGCTGCTGCGCCTTCTTCTTCTGCTCTTCCTCCTGCTGCTCCTCCCCTTGCTGCTCTTCCTGCTGCTCCTCCTGCTCTCCTCATGCTGCTCCTCAATCTTACTGCTCCTCCTCAGGCTGCTTCTCCTCCTGCTGCTCTTCCTCATGCTCCTCCTCCTCCTGCTGCTCCTCCTCCTGCTGCTCCTCCTCTTGCTGCTCCTCCTCTCGCTGCTCCTCCTCAGGCTGCTCCTCCTCTTGCTGCTCCTCCTCCTGCTGCTCCTCCTCCCGCTGCTCCTCCTCTTGCTGCTCCTCCTCCCCCTGCTCCTCCTCTTGCTGCTCCTCCTCCCGCTGCTCCTCCTCATGCTGCTCCTCCTCTTGCTGCTCCTCCTCCTCCCGCTGCTCCTCCTCCTCCTGCTCCTCCTCCTCCTGCTGCTCCTCCTCCTGCTGCTCCTCCTCAGGGATGAGGAGGCATGAGGAGGAGGAGCAGCGCGAGGAGGAGCAGCAGGAGGAGGAGCAGCAGGAGGAGGAGCAGCAGGAGGAGGAGCAGTGGGAGGAGGAGCAGCAGGAGGAGGAGCAGCGTGAAAAGGAGCAGCAGGAGGAGGAGCAACGGGAGGAGGAGCAGCAAGAGGAGGAGCAGCGGGAGGAGGAGCAGCAGGAGGAGGAGCAGCAAGAGGAGGAGCAGCCTGAGGAGGAGCAGCCTGAGGAGGAGCAGCGAGAGGAGGAGCAGCAAGAGGAGGAGCAGCAGGAGGAGCAGCAGGAGGAGGAGCAGCAGGAGGAGGAACAGTGGGAGGAGGAGTAGCCTGAGGAGGAGCAGCATGAGGAGGAGCAGCAGGAGGAAACATATATTACTTTAAACCACTGTCGAACACCAAATGGAAAAGTAGAATTCAGGCTTTGGTAAGATCGAAGAAAACGATTTGAAGGGAAATTTGAGAGCGCTCATAAATATTCAAGAAGATTAAAGAGACATAGAATTAAGAACTCAAGCAAAAACGTTGATACAGATGGTTGGACGTTTAAATTCATTTGTTCCATTAACATTTGACACGATATTTTAAATTTAGTAAATGTGGTAAAAAAAAATGAAATATGCAAAACTCTATTTGTGATTTACAATCGGAACATTACAAAATCTTACATCAGAACCAACGTGACCTGTGAGCTAAACCCCATCAGCAGTATTGATGGGGGGTGTTACGCTTGAAGGTTAAAAAACTTTTATGAAACAAACAGGTTTTTATTTAACAAGGCAAAAGACTTTTCGTAATTTAATTTCAATACAATAAGTAAAATTCAAAAAAGTAATAAATGTTCATACAATACAAAATGATACAATGTAAATTAATGCACAAATTATAATACAAGTAATTACAATGTGAAAAGAACAAATATGATGGATTACAATTCAAACCTTCAAATAAACATAAAAATTCGTACATTATTTCTCAATTGGCAGTACAGCAATTTTAGTAACTGCTCGTTTATAAATACCATTTTTGGTTTTGACAGAGACAACTCGCACAAGGTTGTCCTTCCCATAAAACACATCTACAATTCTCCCTAACAACCATTTGCAGGTAGGAAGATTTTCTTCCTTGATCACTACCATATCCCCTATTTTAATATTTTGTTTAGCAATCATCCATTTATTTCTTTGAATCAAAGTGCTCAAGTAATTATTAGTCCAGTTCTTCCATATATTTTGTACCATTTTTGTAGTTTTTTGCCATAAACTAAGTCTGTTATTATCTACTTCTGTTAAATTGGGTTCAATTATTGAATTGATCGGTCGACCTATAAGGAAATGACCAGGGGTCAAAACATTTAAATCATCAATATTAGAAGTTAACGGTGTAAGAGGGCGAGAATTTAAGATTCCCTCTACTTGAACTGTTACTGTCAAAAATTCTTCGTAGGTTAATACTGAATTTCCTACTGTTCGTTTAAAATGAAATTTAAAGGATTTTACTCCTGCTTCAGATAGACCATTAAAATTTGGTGCTCTTGGGGGTATAAACTTCCATTGTATACCTTCCTCGGCTAGAAAATTAGCTAAAGTTCCAGTTCCATTCTGCTTTAGAAAAATACTCATTAATTTTTTTATTTCTGTATTTGCACTAACAAAGTTTTTTGCATTGTCACTAAATATTTTTTTTTTTTTTTTTGGTTTACCTCGTCGGGCAAAGAACCTCTTCAGACAAGCAATGAATGCTTCTGCGGTTAAGTCATTGACAATCTCTAGATGAATTGCTTTTGTCACCATACAAACAAAAATACAAACATATATCTTATGATAGTTACCCTTGCGTTGCCCTTTGTACTTTATCAAAAATGGGCCGCAGTAATCAATAGCACAACAATTAAATGTAAAGTTAATATTAATTCTCTCTTTAGGTAATTCTCCCATTAGTTGTTGAGAAATTATTGGTTTTGCCTTAAAGCAAATTATGCAGCTTTGGACTATCTTTCTAGCTATATTCCTGCCATTAATGGGCCAATAAATTTGTCTAATAGAATTTAATAGTGATTGTGGACCATTATGAAAATCCTTTTCATGAAAATAAATAAATATAAGTTCAGTTAACTTATTCTTGGCAGGCAAAATAATGGGATGTCTTTGACTATAACTTAAATTAGAATTCTTTATCCTACCACCTACCCTTAACAGACCTTTTTCATCTAAGAAGGGATCAAAATATTTTAACTTACTCCTTGATGTTATCTGTAGACCTTTCTGCAACAAAGAAATTTCTTCTGCAAAATACCTACCTTGGATATATTTAAGGAGTGTATTCCTTGACAGCTCCATTTCATCTATACTAATACTACCTGTTCGTTTCTCACTTGTGTTCCTACAGTTGTAGATAAATCTGAAAAGTAAACTAAGAATTCGTATTAGTTTCAAGAAATCATTAGTTATTTTTAGGAAGTCATCAAAGAATGAATCAGTTTTTAAAGTCAACAAGGAAGTCGTAACTGGTTTCAGTTCTGAAGAATAAAGCTCATCACTAAGTCCATTTTTATCTT